AAAAGGGCACAGCAATAGGCCCGAAACAATTCCTTGGTTTTTTAATAAATATAATCTTGTGAGATGCAAAAAATACTGCTAGAGTGGAGAAGCAGTATTGTTCTAATGTAGAAAACCCAGGGACATACAGCAGTGCACTAACCATAGGCGAATAGTCACTAAATTATACAAGAGTCCCATCTCGATTTTATTTTTAAATATTTTTGAGAATACCTATTATTATTTGTTACATTGAGTTTAATAAAACCACAGATTTCGAATGTATTGAAAGTTATTTAAAAAGTACCTCTATAAATATATAGAAAATGTGTATATGACTAACTGGTTTTATTAATCTTTTTTTGGGGTAGGTAAATATATTTTGAAAAATTTACAATCTTCTTTTGAATAAAAGACAAAATATTTCTGTTTTTATTAACTGAACAATATTTTATACAAACATAATATATACCTATTTAAAAGAAAATATTACATTTTACAAGTATCGCATATTTATATGAAATAACTTACTCAATAAGAAAGAATTAAATGAAACAAATTAATAAACAATGGATATGAAAAATTGCTTTAACAATCCTTAGATAAACTTATTCTTACATATTGCTTTAATCAATTTATTTACTATAAAAGTATATTTCCTAACATTTATTACATGTAATAAAATAAAGCATAAAACATACAAACTATAATATGTACCTACTTAGAACGGAACTAATATTATTGTATCAAGGTAGTAATAGTGGACATTTTCCGAATAAAGAAAAGTAAAAAAGAAGTAACGGTCGACATGTTTTTCTGACTATTGGTCTTCATCAGTACGGTGCAGCCAAGTTCAAAGGATCATGGAACGTGTGTTGGAAAAATTGTACAATAGGTCACTAACAAGGAGCCAATAACACATTTGCCGGGTCCGGTAAAGGATCCTGAGGTGCGAAATTGACAAAAAAAATTTTAACACTCAAAAGTAACTAGTTTCTATAGTAAATTTTTGAAAAAAAATGTATGGATGAAGCAGTATTTTTCGAAAAAAATTGAATTAAAAATCCCAATTTTACAGGTTATAATCACAAAACAATTACTCTAAATGACAGTTTCTGACGTTTCTGTCTTAAAAATAACAAACGTTGCCAAGTTGTTAATAAAATTATAAGTTTAAGGATTATTTAAATTTATAATCATAAATTTTTCGTTTGGTTTAAAAAGATAAGTACGGTAATAATCGTAAATAAAATGCAAAAATTAATATATCAACCAAATTAATTTTAAAAATGCAGCTCAAAAAAACTACATACAAAATTAAAAAGTGAATTTAATTAAATCACTCAACATGTAATACCTAGACAACTTTTTTTTTAAATTTTCTTTCACTCAAAACGAAACAACGACTTCCGCTAGCGTGGCGGCTTCGCCGCCACCAAAAAATTTTAATCCATACCTGGCTACGCCTACCGGCATAGATTCCAACGGCCTGGACACAGCTCAAATTGAAATGAAAAGTCTCACATAACACATTATAATCAAAAATCATACATTTTTCGTTTGGTTCAAAAAGATAAGTACGGTAATAATCGTATATAAAATGAAAAAATTAATATATCAACCAAATTAATTTTAAAAATACAGCTCAAAAAAACTACATACAAAATTAAAAAATTAAATTAATTAAATCACTTAACATGTAATACCTAGACAACTTTTTTTAAATTTTCTGTCACTCAAAACGGAAAAACGACTTCTCGTAGGGTGGCGGCTGCGCCGCCACCAAAAAATTTTAATCCATACCTGGCTACGCCTACCGGCATAGAGTCCAACGGCCTGGACACAGCTCAAATTGAAATGAAAAGTCTCACATAACACATTATATTTTCACCTATAAATTATTTTCTTCTCATTCAAACAGAAATCTTAAACTTGGAAATTATCAGTGATAAAAATCAACAATATAGTATGGCAACGTTGCAAACTCGAGGACCTTATGTGTCAAGAACTGACAATTTCATGAATCACTTTATTTTAGGTTTTATGGAAGGAAATGATGAAAAGTTAGGTTAAATCAGTCAAAATATTGCATTTTATTATAATATAAATAAAAATAGCAAATGAAACGTATTATTCCATATTTAATTTCAGTTAAAATATTATAAAAAGTAAGTTACTTCAATATATTAATGCTAAAATTATGAAATTCGCACCTCAGGATCCTTTACCAGAACCCATTTGCCGTTTCAGCTAGTATCCCCAAATTTTCTGGGCTTATACTAAAGTCACAAAATGATTCAATGGTCTTCCTATGGCTATCAGTTATTCTTTCCTAAATTTTTTTGGTATGCTACAACAAAACACAAATTATTTGATTTTGATAATATACAAATATTTTTGAAAACTTACACATGAAATGTTATTCCTTCCTTGTATCTTCTACCGTTGGATGCATTGTTACATTCACGTACAAAACAACAAGAGATTTTGAAAATCCTGTAAAAATTTAACACCAAACCACAAATGTTTTTTATTAAAATAAAACACTAAACGACTAAACTAAAAAATAATGTTTTAAATAAAACCTTTACTAGAAGAACAAAATAAACAACACAACAGATAATAAAATCGATAATATACGTCGAACGCCGATCTTACGCTTATTACTAAACTTGTGCCGATTCTGTCTTGTCAGAAGTGCCAACTTAAAATTTATTGACATTTATTTATCATGGCGCCCATCATATGGGGGGTCAAAATGTTTTTACGATGCGGTATCTAGACCTTCTGAGGGCTATGCTCTCTATAAACAAATTACTGTCACAATCTAAAGTTACAACTAATTATATTTAAAGCTTGTTCTTCAATATTAGATGACAAACTTTCTCCGAATCACTCATTTTATTACTAGAAAATGCAAAAATACTTTAAAAATTAGTTATTTTTGACTTGTTTGTCAATATTATCGTTGCTAAGAAAACAAACCGTTTTTATTCAATTGTTAGACCCGCCACCCAACATTTCGATGTGTCACCAGTCGACATGTAGGCAGTGGTGGAGAATAATAACGATTATTTTGTACAACCTATTGCAGCACCTCTATAAATGTTTAGAGGATAAACTAAATATATACATTTTCCACATACATCTAACTCGAATAATTTTTCTCTAAATTTTCATTTTTTTTTTTACATTTTGTCAAATTTTTCGAATACGGATCATTTTAGGAAAATTTTGTATGGAACAAAAGTTATAGATAATAATATAAGTAACTTTTATTTGAAGAATTTTCTTTTCCAAACGTAAATAACAAACGGCCTCCAATAAAGTACCCCCCAGATGTTCCGACTTTGCCCAAAATCTATCATTTCACGACAGGCCGAAATAAAACTTATGTTTAAAATTTAATGTTTTTTCTTTATCCGTTTTTGAGTTTTCTTCAAAATTAGAAATTTACACATTTTCTCAAATATCTCGAATACGGTCCATTTTAGAGAAATTATGTATAGTATAAAAATTATAGATGATTATATTACAAACAACTTTTATAAAAAAATATTTTTTTTTATTTTGTCAAATTTCTCGAATACGGACCATTTTAGGAAAATTTTGTATAGAACAAAAATTATAGATAATAATATTGTAAGTAACTTTTATTTGAAGAATTTTCTTCTCTAAAAGTAAATAACAGATATATTCTATAAAATATAAAAATGACCACCTATAAAGTACCCCCCCAGATGTTTCGACTCTGACCAAAATCTAATCTGTTCACTGGAGGACGGAATAAAGCTTAAGTTTAAATTTTTCTTTATATCCGTTCATGAGTTATCGAGGATACAGACACACACACAGACATCATCGCGAAAATAGTCAAAACGGATTCAGGGGACTACAAAACGTAAAAAGCCGTCGAAATGTTGTCGGGTCGAAACAAATCATGATTCCTATACTTTCCTTATCTGAATACAGATAGGAAAGTAAAAATGGATAAACGTTGTCGTTTCAAGAATTGAAGTACTTAGTATTAAATTAAAAATCTGATGTGTCCAACACATGACTTTCCTATCTAGTTATTATAGGCTTTTCCCGGTTATTCTGTACAACCTATTTCAGCACCTCTATAAATGTTTAGAGGATAAACTAAATATATACATTTTCCACATACATCTAACTCCACACATTTTTCTATAATATATATTCCATAAAATATAAAAACGGCCTCCCATAAAGTACCCCCCCCCCCCCAGATGTTCCGCCTTCATCCAAAATCTAATCATTTCACCTCAGGCCGAAATAAAACATTTAAAGTTTAAAATTTAATGTTTTTTCCATTATCCGTTTTTGAGTTTTCTTCAAAATTCGAAATTTACACATTTTCTCAAATATCTCGAATACGGTCCATTTTAGAGAAATTATGTATATGACAAAAATTATAGAGAATTATATTACAAACAACTTTTATTTGAACAATTTTTATAAAAAAATATTTTTTTTTACATTTTGTAAAATTTCTCGAATACGGACCATTTTAGGAAAATTTTGTATAGAATAAAAATTATAGATAATAATATTATAACTAACTTTTATTTGAAAAAGTTTCTTCTCCAAACGTAAATAACGGATATATTTCATAAAATATAAAAATGACCACCAATAAAGTACCCCCCAAAAGTTCCGAATCTGCCCAAAATCTAATCAGTTCACCGCAGGCCGGAATAAAGCTTAAGTTTAAAATTTGATGTTTTTCTTTGTATCGGTTCATGATTTATGGTGGATACAGACACACACACACAATCATTCCGAAAATAGTCAAAACGGATTCAGGGGACCCCAAAACGTAAAAATCCTTCGAAAACTGGAGGTCGAAAAAAATCATGTTTCCTATACTTTCCTTATATCTGTATACAGATAGAAAAGTAAAAATGAACTCTTGTGATGTAATGATGTAATTTAAACGGGTTTTAAACATCTTTTGATTAAAAGTTACGTCATTGAAAATGATTTTTATATTGTTTCAGATCCAGAAACAGGGATCGCGACTACGACGACGATAGAGATTTTGATAGAAACGATCGTAGAGATATACGTAGAGGTAGAGATAGACGACCGTCTAGAGAGAGAGACAGATTCTTTGATAATTACGATGATAAAAGAGGTCCACCTGCCAGGGGACAGGTCCCATGGAACCCGCCAAGGCCAGATAATTATTTTCCACCTGGGCCACAAGCGATGCAGCCAGGATACCAGCCTAACAGGTACTTTAATTATTTGCAGTTTGTAAAATTATTGATAAGTTTTGAGTATGATGAATCGGAAGAGAATACAGGAAAATGTATGTAAAACAAATGATAGGTAGAGGTTATTTCTTCCTCGCGTAACTAGAATCGTCAGTTGTAAAATGTTTATTATAACACAATTATTACATTGTTAAAATAAAAATATTCAGTTCATTCACCTCTAGTTGGAACATTTTGTAGTATCTGTGTCTAAGCTTTTATTTATAGTTCACTTTAGATTATCTTTAAAATCAAGTTATTTTATAATGATTGGACAAGACCTGATGTAATTTATCAAAGTTAAATGTGCCCTTTTTTGTCCATATATACTCTAGTTTTATTTTTAATTGTAAAGAAGAAAAAATATATAAATCGGAGTAGAACACTTTTTGTATTTCGCTTGAGTAAATTATTATTTTTTTTTATTGGTACCCTATTTTACTTATTTAAAGTACGCCTCAGCGTGTTTAAATCGAACTTTAAAAAACGCGCGCGTTTTAAAGTTAACATGGCAACATCAACAACCCGAGAAACGTTATGTCTAAATGCCAACTTTTTAAATATTGATTTGACAGGAGTGCCTTGTAATGTCAAATAAAATATTTCTGAGAAATTTTTCAAAAAATTTATTCAAATATTTTTTTCACATTCTTAATTATTTAAATGAATGTGGAAAGTACAGTTAGTATTGTTTGAAATATTAAAACTTCGGTTTTTTAAATCAGAGGAAATACTGTTCAAATTAAGATTGCTAAAATTCTTGGAAGTCAATGAAGTTGTACTTCCATTAATAGCACTTCCAATAATATTTGAAACATTCTTCTTATTTCTAATGCTCTCTTCAACGTAACCAGTCGCCACAGCTGCCGATTTCCATCCTACTTGTCGTTGGATTTGATCTATTGTCATGTCATTATTCGCCATAATGGTAGCGGACGTATGTCGAAATGCATGTCCAGTATATTTCTCAGGATCGTCCAATTTAAGATCCTCAACATATTTTGTCCGAACTCCGGCTGCGCCGTCGTGCTCGAAAAATCGCGCGTGTTTTAAAGACCGTTATATCCACTTATACTTTAATATACTATATTGCATAAAGAGCTCTAGTCTAGTAGGTAAACCTTAAATAGTTGCTCTATGATCGAATATGAAATCTTCAAAAACGATAGAAATATATGATCTGAGCAGTTTCCAGATGAAAATCCTGATTAATCTAAAAACAATTATTAATTTTATTAACTTTTTGTTAAAATAAACATACATTCCTGATTACAACTGATTTTTTTTATATATTAAAGTGGGTATTTAATAGTACAATTAGACTGCTTTATGAGAGAAATATCTGAAAACCAATCATTTGTTTACATACTTTTTCTTATTATTAAAAAAAAGTCGCTCAGAAAAAATATGTGACTTAAATATGAATATTTTATGACATTTTCTGCTGTTGATATGTTCTATATATTTTATCACGATACGTTTCCACTGTATATGACATTATTTTTCATTTTTAAACACCCATCTATAGTTGTTTACTTGAAAAATAGTGTTACCGATGGTATATTTGTAATATTTACATTCCGTATTAAATAAATATTGCATATCTGATTTAAAAAAAAACCCTTCGCAGTATTGAGAAATATGATTTGAGTGATATTCTACTGTGATATTTATAAAGAAATTTTCTGTGATCATGAACATTTGTTACGCATTTTTATATTTTCATAGATAATATTTAAGTGTTTTTTTATTGTGATATTTTCATTAAGAAAAATAAATAATAAATATTTAACCCTTTGTACTTATGGTTTTTTTACCTTTTTATATTATAATATCCAAACCGTAGAAAGTTACAAAATATTGTTAAGAAAATTGAAGTATTTTGATGTGTTTTGTACTCCAAAAACAGGTCATCATAAACGACAAAGATTAAAAATATATAAATGTTATTTCATACTGTTTGTCCGATATATATTACAATATTTAATTTAAATCTAGTAAATGTCTCATTAAATTAATAAGCTAATAATGGTATATTACATGCATATATAGTTTAAATTTTTCTTTTGTATTGCCGATTAACAGGAGGAACTGCGATAGCTTTATAAAAAGCAAGCACACGTTAAATCCCCCTCTGTGATGGGTTGATTAGTGGGAGTAGTTCATCCCAGTGTGAATTTGATTTCGGTCCAATTGTACTTAAATCAGTACGAAATACTATAAAAAGAAAGTATGATATTACACAGATTGATACTACGCCACCATCACGTATTGTGGTGAGGAAGTGTGACTTTTATGAATTTAAAGAATCAACTGCGGCGCCCTAAAATAAATTGTAACCTGCTGATATCACAGATAGCCCATATTCACCACCTCAATAAGTTATGCACGAACTCAACAAAATTTCGTCGGCTAAATTTCTGTAGATTTTTATGACCTACAATTTTCTAGTATATTGTTTTGATGTATCTCTTAAGATTTGGCGAGCGTTAGCCATGTAAGTGTACGAACACAGTTTTTTTTTACAAAACGCCGTCATAGTTCAGCCATTTTCTACCAAATATTTACAAATTATATACACAAACCTTCCTCGTTATCGCTCTATTCTCATTGAAAACTGTATCAAAATCCGTGTGTGATTTAGAAGAAGTAAGTAGAGAAAAGTCTTAATTATTTTCATTGTCTTTCTATCTTACCTTTAAAATCAAATCATTTACTTTTTGCCCTTGGAAGAACTCAGTCCCGATCATGGCCTCAATTCTGGACTTTTTTCCCATGGGGAAAAAGATAATTTTCATGTATTATGGGAATTTATATTTTGTATTCTCGACACATCCACTAGGAATATTTTCTCATGACAAGTATAGAAGCAAATACATTTGGTATTTGGCGTGGGAAATGAAATTTCCAATGGGAATATTGATAATGGATTCAAAGTTATTCTGTTCCTAGTCACATTGACTTTTTCTTGTTCCTTTAAATATTAATATTATTATTTCTAATATACCGTGTTTCTTAAAATGGATGAAGCTATTTAACTTCTCCAATTAAACCATATAGAAGAGGCAGAAAGTAAATAATGCCCCAAGTGGAAAAATGAGGCAGCAGATCCTTTTGAATCTTTAAATGAAACCAAAATTATTTAGACTATCAAAAGGGCGACCTCTGATCTATTTCCAGATATGGAAACATAATATATCCCTTTTTTTTGTCCAGTCTAATCCGCCCCGACGCACACTGGGGCAACAAGCCATCAAAGTTGGCATTAAATCACAGACTTTCTTTATGAATTTGTAAGTTAAATATTGCTTTGTAGAGGTGTTAGTATTACAAATGAAAATACATAGAGGGCATATAAAGTGTCTGTTTGCTAAAAAAATTGAAAGTTATTAAGAATATAATATAATAAAAATGTATATTCTATTCTTAATATCTTTCTATTTTTTTTTTTTATCAAATAAACACTTTATAAGCCCTCTATGTATTTTCTTTTGTAATACTAACATATAATATAATAAAAATGTCATGAGCCTAATGAGGCCTAAGTGCCATGTGGGTAATCCACTCTTCACACGTTAAAGATACAAATAATAAAAATGTAATATTATAATAATTTCATTTAGAAAAGCTATGATAATTGTAATCAAATTTCATCCTCTGTAGAATGTGATAAGACATTTTCTTCATTGTCTCCACGATCATCATCAGATTCATGAATATACCATGGCTGTGAAGCTGGACGAGTCCAGATTTAAACAAATCTACTGCTTCTTTAGGAAAGTGCTGCAGGTTCTTTCTTTTTTAATTTTCGTTTGCTCGTGATTACAAGGTCGAAACTAAGTAAAAACGAATTAAAGACGTCCCCATTAGTTTTCTCTGTTAATTGATCTCTAGGCAACAAAGCAGAAGATATTATTTCAGGCCCATGTATAAAGTATTTGTGAAATGTCGGAGGCATATTGAGCGTGGGTACTTTTCAACAAAGTATCTAGCGGTGTTGTGAGCAAATTCTATTAATTTCATTCTTTCCAGAACTTCTCATGATATTAAGAAGTTTTTTTCTCGATAAAAACATTGAGTCCAAATCGGACAAAAACTAAAATAGCAGCGTTGCAAAGCATAATAATGTGTTATTATAGGCTTCTATGAAAACATAAAAACCAGACAACTTTGATTGTCCATATCTTACGATTGAATGGACCAATCGTGCTCGGAGAGGTCCTAAAATAAAGAAAATAGGTTAGATATTTAACTTTTGTTATTAGATTTTATATATAATTTATAACTATTACGCAAAATAAGCTTAAAATGGGTTACTTTTAGGCTCGTGTTTTTTCTTCAATTAGGTCGACCATCTTAAATTTTTTCATTTCTAGCATTTTGTTATGTCTGCCTGGGAGCATATTTAGTTGCCTATAAAATGAGCCTAAGGACAATAAAATCGATATATTAATACACGAAATATATTAAAAAAACAGAATTCTTTTTTGAATGATCGTCCCGCCATATATTTATATACTTTGAAAAAACCCAAATAGTGAAGAAAAGTGCAAATAAGTGCACAGAAACTAAACGATTTCGAAAAGTACAAACAATGTTCATTATGAAAAGTCGAAATTTAAAGCTTGATCTGCTTTGGAACACAACAAATAGCCTTCATGTATTTAAGAATATTTTAAAATTTTAACGTTTAACCTTCATTTTACTTTACCCCAATATTATATGATTAAGTTTATTTTTCCACAAATTTTTACTTCTTAAAATAATAATACATAGCTGAACTTGAAGGTTCCGTGGCGGAAATTTGAAAAAAAAATCAAAATACAGCCTAAACACAGCACAAAAACATGTTAAAAACTACGAAATAACAATGAATATATACTCGCCTCAGATAAGTAACTTCGACTGAGGGTGGTGATGAAACGCGTAAGACAGAAGATCGCACTTGTTCGTTTTATTATGTAATGGACAGTAATATATCAGAAAAAAATTTGAGGTAGAGTGTATATGCTATTTAATTTTTTGATTTATTGCCAACTTTGAGGGCTTGTTGCCCCACTGTGCGACGTCTAAAATCCGCTACCGGTTTTATTATTAAAAATAGACCACGTGTTAATCGAGTCAAAGTGCAGTTTATTAAATTGTGCATTTTTTTAAAATCAAAACATAGCTCTTTGCATAAGAAAATTATGTCAAGGTAGGTTAAAAAAAAAGTCAATTTGTTGCTTTTTTTTAATAATACTATTTTTGGGTGTAGTTTACAATATTTCGGTAGTTGAAATATATACCAAACGAAAGAAAATTGGATAGGGGATAAAACAAAACAAAAATTGTTTTTCTAACTTCTTTAGCAAAAAAATTACACTGTGTCTAGAATCCCGGTACCGGTAATACATTTTTTACCAGTTGTTTTGATGACGTCACCCATATGACGCACTAGGTACCGGGAATGAAGTAAATCCCGGTTTTTTGATTTTGTTTTTATCTTAATTTTTATTGGCATCTAACAAAAGTAACATTTTTGCCTCTTCTCTTATTTTCATAAGGCAATTTTCTCTGTTTCATCAAAAAGGGCCTTACTTGTCTCATGCTTATGGTTGTTATTTAAGCTTTTAACTTCAAGGAATTTTCCATTTTGGGAAACGCGTAAAGCTATAAAGGCAGGATATGGAATTTCCTTTTTAAATGTCCTTATCACTTTTAAGTTATTTTCTTGTTTTCGGAAACGTTGCCCTCCGAACAGTATTTTAGTTCATAATATCATAGTTCTGATCTTATTATCTTTTTGACTCTACTGGCTGTAATCAATCGGGCGTCCCTTTTCCAGTACTTGGCAAATGTCTTTTTCTCATACACTTTCAAAGTCTCCTCAACGTCCTTATAACTTTTAAATGTTTATCCAATACTAAAAACCATTTTAAAAGTGATTTTACGCTTTTAAAAACTCACGAATGATCCACTTTCACACATCAACAAAACAATTTATAAAATCATAACATAAAAAGTTAGGTTAAGTTTGACTTTGATAAACAGAAGTCGCCAACAACTACATTTTTTACCGGGATTTGCTTAAATCCCGGTACCTAGTGCGTCATATAGGTGACGTCATCAAAACTACCGGTAAAAAATATGTTTTAGACACAGCGAAAAATTTATGAGTGTTCAAAATTAACAAATGAAAAAAACTTTTTTTTTGTATTTTGCCTATATATTTGGTCCCGACCAATAGAGAGAGTCGTCGCTCCATCCGACGGACTGTAGGTCCCCAAACTTTTTTTTACCGATCTGTAGGGTGTTGAGATTTTTTGTTTGTTTATAGCCCTGCATTTTTTTATATATTTAGTTCAAATTTGGAATATAAATTGCACTGCAATAATATTAATATTTTTTATTCAGAAAGTAGAATCCATATACAAAAAATAGTAAAACACAAATAGCTTTTAACTTGGTAACAAAAATACAAGGATTATCTACTAAACTGAAATGGAACAATATTCATCGTAGCCTATCAGAAGACATACTAGAATGGTTTTTAATACGTCCGGTCAAAATTAATAGTTTTAAAATAAACACCCCTTAAAAGTATAAAAAAGAAACCTAATAAAAATTGTAATAAACAACAAATACCTACCTAGTCTAGTAGACGAAGCTCAATGAAAACTAGTGACTGTTGCTGCAAGCTCTGAATATAAAAATATGCAAAGATCAATAAAAATAAGGAGTAGGAGTACAAAATATCATTTGTTGAGTATCTATATTATAAAATCCATCAGTAGTTGTCCGCGAAGTAACAGAGATTTCAATTTATTTTTAAAAGTTATATAGCTTAATTTTTTAAACTTTATTGGTATAAGTTTCAAGATATGGCCTATTTAATACGAACATAGTAGTAGAATGTCGAGGAATAGAGATATCTTTTCTGCGAATATTAATATTGTGAACATCGCTCCTGAATCTTATTCTGTTATACAAGTAGATGGGAGTTTTGAGATTGACAATTTATTTGGTACAGGCAACAAGTGTGCAGAAAACGCCCTTCGTGAACAGGTAGCCAAGACAATTCGAATCACTTAGCTGACACTCTTTCCCTTCTTTTCAAATTATATATTTGTCTAAAGGCGCGCACAGATCTGAGCACGTATGAGTATGAGGCAAACCGAGGCCGAACCGAATGCCTCGTGCGGCGAATTTTGTAGACACGAATGGTAGACGTACGAGGCACTGTTCGCTACTGATCCAGTGAATTCGCGAGCACGGAACCGTACACCCAGAACACTCATATAATTAAAACAAAAATGGAGGTCTGGTAGTTGAGTGCCTGTTTTATTATTTTGTCTTGCTCTCCATAAAATATCTCGCTGATTATAAACATCCAGGAGAAGCAAAACCTTTTCCTGACTCCACGTCATGCAAAATAAACCTTGAAAACTCGCTATAATCTATTCCGTACAAATTCCTCGTCCAGACGCACGTACTGTGCATTGTAGTGATGTAAGAATACGTATCCAAAAATCCATTGAATCCGAATATTAAAAGGATCCGGATATTCCGGAATCAATAGTGTAAATTCGAATACGAATTCGGTATCAAAAAGAACAGAAACAAAATCGTAATACACGAATCGACGAATCGAATGCTGCAAGTTCTGTTATGACAGAGCCGATTCGGGTTTTGCGGGTGGCAGCCGATAACTATGGATACGAAATCAGAATTCGGAATCGTCTAGCGTTGTTGCAATTCATAATCGGTTAGTCGGCATGCACTGCATATTTTAAAGGTAACATGAAGTTATATAAATATAAATGAGAAATTTTGTTTCTGATATTATGATAAAAAACAAAATATTTGAGATTTATCTTGTGTTTATTATTCTAAAACATTAAAAGCTCCTGTTACTTCACTCTCAAACATAAATTCTGCTAGGGTTGACAACACTGCCCGATTCCGATTCCCAAGGTCGCGGACTTATACTGGGGTCGCGGTGTATTTACGGTTGCGTATTATGATTTCACACATGGATACGTATCCGGATGATGAATCCGAATATCTCTTGGTTCCGAATACGTATTATCCGAATACTAAAAAGATACGGATATTCACAACACTAGTGCATTGCCTGCCTTTGATGTACCGCCAACAAACGAATCGGGCCGAGGCCGCACAGCATTCTCATGCGTACTCAGCTTAAAAGGTATTTTGTTTTTTGGCAGTTGGCTAAACTGATAATTTGACATATATGAATACGAAAATTTGAAATAATTTCACAATCTTTTTTAACATTTCGTATTTGGAGTCAAGAACCAAAGCGTTATGCTATCTAAAAGTAGTTACAAAAGAAAAAGAAAAGAAGATCAAGAAGCTGCCGCTCACGTTTTTAAAGATTTTCTAGAAACATTTCAAAATCCGACGGCTTCAATCGCGAATAAAACATTCGTTCGATCAGGTATTTTATATCAAAACAATGAAGAACAAACAGAAAATATCGGTCAAATCTATAAACCGAAGCCATTAATCGTTCAAACTAAATCCGAAGAAGCTAGAACTGCAATAGAATGTGCAAAAATTCTTAAAGAAGCTGCCTTAAGTAAGGCGAAGAAACAAGAGAAACCTAAATCAAACTTAGATCTTTTAAAGGAAGAATTAAAATTAAGACACTCTGAACGTGGAGAGAAAGAAAGATTAAAAGAAGAATACGATTTATCTCCTACGTTAATTACTACCGAGAGCGACGATACGAATTCTACGAATCTATTTGTTGCAAATTTAAGTTCTAAAATTACCGAAAATCACTTGATGCTTGAATTTGGAGAATATGGTCCCTTAGCAAGCGTAAAAATTCTTTGGCCACGGGCAGATGAATGCCAACGTAATTCTAATTGCGGATTCGTCGCGTTCATGAGTAGAAAAGATGCAGAAAGAGCGCTCAAGAAAAACCAACATCGTGATGATATGAGAATTTGTTGGGGTAAAACCGTGGAGATTCCATCTCATCCAATTTACATACCAAATTCCTTACTGAAGCTTTATTTACCACCACCTTTATCAGGATTACCTTTTAACGCGCAAGTACCAAATTCTACAAACCAAATTGAAACTGAAACCGATTTCGAAAATTTTGATGAATTTTTACAAAAATGTGTAATTAAAGTAACTATTCCGTTAAATAAAAAAGTTCTAACGCTAGTCCACAGGATGGTAGAATTTGTAGTCAGAGAAGGTCCGATGTTTGAAGCATTTATTATGAACAGAGAAATAAATAATCCGGAATACAATTTTTTATTTGATTGTCAGTCACCCATTCACGTCTACTACCGTTGGAAATTGTTTTCTATATTAAACGGAGAGTCTCAAAAATCGTGGTCTATGGAGAAATTCAGGATGTTTAAGGGTGGGTCAATATGGTGCCCTCCTCGTGCCCCATGCTACACTGCTGGTATGCCTGATGAACTGATTTCTTCAGAAGTAGACAGAAAAAAGTTATCTGACGCCCAGTCTACCAGACTCATTAGTCTCATTCAAATTTTAACAATACATAGATCGAAAATTGCAGAAGCAATGCTTTTTTGTTTGAACCACAACAATGCAATAGATGACTCAATTGAAATTATTTTAGAGTCTTTAATGAATCCACACACACCCGCGTACAATAGAATAGCTAGATTATATTTATTATCCGATGTATTGAGCAATTGCAAATCTAAAAAAATAAAATTACAAATAGAAGAGAACGAATCTACTTTACTTGAAGTATTCAGATTTATTCGAAATTGTAGCGATGATTTGAAAAATCTCTCCGACAGAGATAATTTCAATTCTAGAGTAATTAGAATTTTCAGGCACTGGGACATACACAAAATATTTACCATTGACTTTCTAGAAAATATAAGCAGTCTTTTTTCCACAATTAAACCCAGAGACGAAGATGATACGTCCAGCATTGACGAACCTTTGGACGGTGCAAATTTATTAAAACGTTCTCTTGGCGATAGCGTCGATCCTAATGTTGTTACGGCGGAAAATTTGAATGCGAAAAAAGTCAACGAATTGTCTGAAAAAGATATCACTAAATATTTTGTTCCGTCTAAATGGGATACCATTGATCCCGAAGAAGTGGAAGCTCAAGCCATGTCTACCGAAAAAATGTATATCATGGAATTGGAAAAGGATGTCAAAAAATCAAAGGACAAAAAGAAGAAGAAGAAATTGAAGCGTTAGGTGTTTTTACGTTGCATGTTTTTGGTTTGTTAAATTAATATACTTATGTAATTGAATTATTGCAAGATTAAAATATGAAATTTAATAGAAGTTTTTTTACTTATTCCATGCAGTTTTGAAGCAATTGCAATCATAATAAATATGTATTTTGAGAGACATTGAAAAAGTGAATTTTCTGAAACAGTAAAGATCTTGGATGTAATTATATTTCTATAATGCTTCTTCATTGTAAGCGAAGATGATAGATGTGTGACAATAATTGTTTTAAGTTGATCTCACGCCAGGAACATGCAGAATGAGGAAGTAGCTATGATTTTTGCAAGAGGTTTAACGAATTCCAATTTGATATTTCAATTTGATAAGGTAAAGGGCCCAAATATTATTTTTACATGGGTAAAAATCGCAAATATTTTTACACAGACAAGTTAAAAGAATAAAGGGCAAAATGTTTTTACGTAGGCAGATCTACAGTTAAATTGAGTTTGTATTTGTGATTCAATTTAATTGTGATAGGGGATTTAAATTTATTTTGTTTTAAAAGTCATAATGGTTAATAAGAATAATAAATTGTCACTTGCAAATAATTCTTAGATTTGTGATCAAAAAATTTACTTAAATAATGCTTTTAATAGTAACGAGGCTTTCCTTATACTTGATGATTTCGAAAGTATAGGTAATACTCACACTCAAGCGAACACTCATTTTTTAGACCAGGGGAATATAGTAGCCGATTTTAAAACTATTGACTTATCATATAATATATAAATAGCCAATCCATTCTTAACCTTCACCTGGCCTCGTGGGGTACGTACATACCCCACGCTCTTTTTCGTCGATTTTCGATATCTAAATCTTCGAAATCGAAACTCGTAACGACATCTATCGGTAGTCAAGGGATATACTTTTATACCTGGGCTAGTGGGATAGCGCTCTCAAAATAAATACCTTTTTTTAAAGACCCATGAAAACAATTATTTTCTTTTATAGTGATGTAACAGAAGAAGACTGCTAAAATTTCAGCCCTTTTTATCGAAAAACAAAAAAGTTTTTCAAGTTTTCTAGTTTTCCGGATTTTTTATGAACGCTGATCTTTATTTTTTAAACTCGGACTGTTCTCCAGTTTAAAGTGGTATCTAAAGAGGATCTCTGAATTTTTTTGAGACAAAATAATCAATATTTAAATTTTTACAAAGATTTTTATCACTGGGGTTCGTACGCATGCCAGGTGAAGGTTAATAAAATAAGTCCCGTTAAAGTTTTACTTGCTGTAAAGAAGTCTCTTATTTACACGAAACAAAACTTACACTAACATTCCTAAACAATATATCTGATGAAGTAAATTTTGAATGCTGTTGTTTTATCTTGTGTCCTAAATAATTTAAAGTACTGTATTATAAATATCTATAGATCTCCTTCAGGAGATATTGAATAAACCTGATCTTTCAGGATAAATAAACTATCTGTTTAATTCGAGAGAACTACATCATTTGTATACGAGGTTTTATAAAAGTTTAATTCGTTTTAAACATTTTTGTAAACTACGAGGTTTTCTGTAAAGATGCGTTTGGGTAATTGCGATAATTTAATGAAAAAAAAATCTAATTTTTGCAAAAGAGAGAGTTACAAGATATTAGAATGACACCGGCGATATATATGAAGAAGAAAACCGAAAATTGTTTTTTTTTTTTTTTTTTTTTTTTTTTTAGTTAAATAATTTTAAATTCGACATTAATAGATTTTAAATAAGAGGTTATTAATCAATATGTACAAAGGGTTATAAATATTTATTTGTGAAATTTAATTTATAAAATAAACTGAAAAATTAATTTTAAGTCATAAGTATACTCGTATATGTCCACATATGTTACGCATAACAAAAAATATATGTATTTTGCAGTTTTAATTCATATAAACTTATTAAACGAAAATATGATTATGTAAAAAAACATACAATTTATTCCCTGAAAGGTATTTGAATATTTTTAAAATCAATTTGATATATTAAGAACTTTCGTACATTATTTATTTTCCATCAGATTTTATCTAATTTCCTACATTATTATTATTCTTTTTTTACATAAACGTTTGTACATCAAATTGTAAAAATGTTGTGAAATAAAAATGTTTTTTTTGTAACTGGTATCTTTTATTTTAATTACACTTAAAGCAATCAACAGCAACAGAATGCACCAAGAAGTAGCAGAAGTGGATCTACTATCAAGAATCGCTTTTTTATTGGTTTCTTTTATTTAACTAGAATGAAATTTTCCATAAAGATTTTCCAGAATATCTAACATTGAAATTTGTACAAACGGAAGTAAACATTTTTTAAGTAATTTGTAATGAAGCAAAATACAGGGTGTCCCAAAAACATACCGACAAACTTTGAGAGGTGGTAGGGGACATCAAAACAAACTTATGCTCGCAAATGAGCCTTGGGACTGGAGAGCAATAAAATATTTTAAATCATTCCAAATAACTATTTATTTAGTTGAACACCACTGTCTTTCATTCGATATTTTTTGTTCCAACTACGTCTTTTGTTGGAGAGCAAACATATTTCACAATAAACATTCCAAAGCTGCCAATTTTAAGACTGCATTTGTTAATTCAAAATTTGTGTTGAAAATGGACAACACGTTCATGTTTCTCTGGAGGGCGGGGCCCCCCGATATTATTTCCGAGGGGGTCCCTTCGTAGTCGGTACCTTGCTTATGGTGTGACCAATTGTAGTGGAGGAGAAGCTGCATTCTTGTATAAACAAAAATATCTAGAACGCCTACAAGATCAACATCATCATCATACAACCTTTACTTCCATCCATCGTCGCCTTAGAGAAAGGGAGAACCTAAAGCGTTCTGGTGGCGGTGGTCGTCCAAGAGCAGCTTAAAATTTGAATTTGAAGGAATTTTACAACGTATGGAGGAAAATTAATCAACAAGTGTTCTTACAATTGCACACCATACGTACAGCGGCGTGTCCTGTATGAACAACTCCACCCCTACCATTTACAACGCGTACAAGCTTTAAATGCTAAAGATTAATCACATCGATTAGCTTTTTGCCAATGATTTTTTAATCATTACTTAATATAATTCCTCACTTCGGAAGAAAAGTATTGTTTACTGATAAAGGATGTTTCACGCGCGTTTGTTATTTTAATAGTAGACACAGCCACATTTAGTTAGCATGATGAAAATCCTTATCTTGTGGTCTTTAGAAGACACCACCAACAATTTTCTGTAAACATGTTTGCTGGTATTGTTGGAGAGATTCTTAATAGTTCACTTACTACCTGCTCGTTTGCAATTTTTTTGATTTTTCGCACTAGTTGTACTTTAGTTAGGTATTTTAACAATTTTTTAGCGAATTTAAATTATTTTGGTCTTATCTAGCGTCTTAATACTTGAAATTAATGACTTCAATTTTTTTCAAATTTCGTTTGTTTTGCGCCAAAATAGTGTTTTTCAGTATTTTATAGCAGATTTACGTGTTTCGAATTATATTTAGCCAATTTTTTTTGATGATTTTTCTACAGTTTTCGCTAATTTACATTTTCCGCACTATTTGTGCTTTATGTAGTTATTTTGGCAATAATTTAATGAATTTAAAATATTTTGCATTTATTGCGCGTGTTAATACTTGAAACGACTAATTTAACTGTTTTATAGTCATTATTTTCTGTATTAATGTAATTATTCTAGATTTGCCCTAAAATTGTATTTTTAATACTTAAACACGTGCTCAAAAGGTTCGACTCTTTTAAGTCTATGCACTAGGTCCTGATTGTCTAAATAATAATAAAAATAATAATAAATTTATTCACTCAAGGGTACATGTATTTTTTTACATATTTTTTATAGACCGTCAGATAGTGACAGGTTTAGGTGCTCCATTTTTGCCTGGTTCGGTCCTTTTCCTTTTGTTATAGTAAGCCTTGAGCCCCAGCAGACATTTTTTGCAACAGATATGCCAACAGCTTATATTTCCTCAGTTTCACTTTTTCGATTTCATAGTGTGTTGTTATTTTTAATAATATAAAAATAGAAGCAGAATTGTTTAAAAGAATGCCATTATAGATCTGATATCATTTTAATTTGACTTGCGTATGTTTTGTGAAATGTGTTTCTACTATTATGTATATATCCACATGTTGTATATCTAAGGTGACTAATAACTTTTGCTGGTGTTGTAAGAGTTCATTTGTGTTCCATTCGAGAATCCTAAGGTCAGGAGTAATTTTGTCTTTCTAACCTATCCAGCCTGTCTAGAACTTTTTTGTTGAATTCTTCCCGTTTATTCATTTGATTCATTATTTTTTGCAGCATTGAAGTTATAGGATCAGTACTTTTTTCTCTCTCTCTCTCTCTCTCTCTCTCTCTCTCTCTCTCTCTCTCTCTCTCTCTCTCTCTCTCTCTCTCTCTCTCTCTTTCTCTCCTATCAATTGTATTTCATTACTTGCTACTTGGGTATAAGGTATACCACCCTCCATTAATGTTTGTTGTACTCTTACAGTTTTCTCTAGTTTTTCAAACGTGCGCAAATATTTGGACCTCGAACGAGGAGGTCCCGTGGCCTAAACTATGCGTTTGCCATATCTCAACCCCCTAGCCTTTGGGATTATCTGAAATCTTTAGTCTACGAAACGCCTATTGGCAATGAGGAAATCTTTTAGCAAGAATGATGTCTAGTTTTACACATGCAGAAGCTATTCCAGGAATATTCTCTATGGTCCGAGAGTCAATGAACTAAATGGTCAACACTTTGAACAATTATTGTAATTTTATTTAGTCCTTCTGAATATTTTTGAATTTGATATTAATTATTTATTAATGAAATAAACAAAACTGACCATTTTATTTTTTTTTTCTGCACAAACGGCTCATTTGAACACATATGTTTATTAAACAAGTTCCTTTGATGTCCCCTTTCACCCCTTAAAATTTGTCGGTATGTTTTTGGGTCACCCTGTATACGCGAATTAGCTCAAAATTACTCAT